GGGTGTGTGTGTGTGTGTGTGTGTGTGTGTGTGTGTGTGTGTGTGTGTGTGTGTGTGTGTGTGTGTGAGAGAGAGAGAGAGAGAGAGAGAGAGAGAATGAGAGTGTGTGTGTGTGTGTGTGTGTGTGTGTGTGTTATGTGTGTCCATGAAAACTGAAGGGGCTAAACTTTTGATATTTTCTCACATATGAATAGATTGGTATTTCAGTGTTTTTTTTTTTCACCTTCATTTTTGGATTAAACTGACAACTGAGTGAGACAATTAATGATAATAATTCAATATAATATAATATCTAAATGTTAATTAAGAGTAACAGGTAAACATTTCTTTGACTGAATAATTTTCCTCTAGAACTCCTATATACTACCCTTTGTATCGTATTAACTGTAGCAGTTTAGCGAATAAAGTGTGCTTGTTTATTTATGCTTTTCTAGATAATTAACATAGAATTTCTGTTTTCCAGTCTATTACAACCCACAAGTTGGAAGCGCCGAGATGCGTTAATAGATGCGTTAACGGAGATTCTGTGGCAGGCGGGTGGGAAGACCAGGTGCTGCGTGGCGCTGATACAGGAAACACGCTGTTTTGATCTTCCTATTGGTTACAGACAAGACTGCCTGTCAGAATACGTAAGTACTGCTTGCACGCACTCATACACGCACACACACGCAAACACATACACAAACGCACACACACACACAAACCCATGCACAAGTACGCATGTATATATACACAGACACTCACAGAATACCTGCCTGTCACAATGCATGAGTACTACTACTACTACTACTGCAACCAGTGTCCCGTGCACAGTGGTATATATGCAGGCACATGCACATATGTACACACACACACACACACACACACACACACACACACACAATCATACAGACACATGTACATATGTGCACAAGTACAAACACACTCAGACACTCACACATGCTTGTTAAGTCTACATACAAGTGATCACTGATGAGATGCACATTTGCCTGCACACACACCGAACACACACACACACACACGCACACACACACACACACACATACAAAAAGTGATTTTGGAAATGTGATAACTCACTTTACATTTATTTGTTTTCAGCTCCACTTATTTTACTTTACAAAGTTCCAAGAATTACGCACATGTATCAAGACATATATAAGTTATGTAAGTAGAAATCCTTGCAAGTACAGATATTTAAGTTTTAGTCACTACAATTTGAAATGTAGCAGCGCTTAAATGTATCATTTATTTAAGTGAAATAATCTATAGCACCTTTTAGTATATTATCATTTTAGGAATAAATTATAAGGATAACAAGGCTGAAGACAAAGCTGGCATAAAGTGTGATGATGAGCCTTTTCTTCTCTCATAAATGCACCTGAACAACATTATTAGCTATTTATTTCTGAATATGATGATAGTGTAAACTTGACTCTCCTAAATATATTGTTTAATGGAAAAATAAAAGTTCTTTTATAAGTTTTTTCACTACTCCACTTTTATTCCCCCACACACCCACCTTACAACCTTACCCCCTTCACATAGCCTTACTCCCCCCTCTGTTTATATTCTTCCCCACTTCTTCCTGATATGCACACAGTTGTGTTCTCCCCATTTCAGTTTGAGTATGAGAGCAGCCATGGTGCACTCCTCTTCCTCTACAGCCTCGTGCTATCGCGCAGTATAGACCAGTAAGTACTAGGAACATGTACATGCATGTACGCACCTGCACTTATAGTTATTCCTTTCCTGCTTATTGGGGTGTGGAGCAATAATTAGGATGAACATACTTGAACATGCATACATGCGTACACTCAGCGGTAGATTGCTGTGGTACCTACAGTATTATACAGTGCAGAAAAGTAAGGTGCAGCAGGCATGATCACTAGTTACGTAAAACATGCATGCATGAGCACACGTGCGCGTGCACACACACACACACACACACACACACACTTCTGCAGAAGGCTTCTGTTGAGGAAATGTTACTAATTTCATAAAGGTATTTTTGATTATATATCCTTAAACCTTTTCACACTAAACCTAAAAGCTAAAACTTTGGTAAGTGTTTATTTTTTAATAGAAGAACTATTATAATTTCAAATTTGGTCATAATAATGGCAATGCACCCTGACTTTCAAAAGAAACTCATCATTGTAAGCTAGTGGAAATGGTGAAGGTACACTAAAAGTGAATAGTACAGTTTCCAAGGATTTCTGAAACTCGGGATTCAGTAAAGTATTTTCCCTAAATTTAATACTTTCCTCATATCAGGGTCCTAAATGACATGGGAGAGGTGAAGTATAAACAGCTGATTACAGACCAAGAGGACACCAGTATACCCCTGGTCAACTTAGTCCTGACTGGCCGCGCCGTCCCCTTCCAACACAATGGAGACCAGATATATGATGATGATGGGAAAGTATTGGTAAGATTGAATGTTACAGTAAAACGGTTAATACAGTTACTTCAGACAAATTTCAGATTTTTTGTGTATAATATTTGTTATGTACAAAATAAAATTATGTATGATGTTTCAATAATAATTACTTCAGTACAGGTACTTTTTAAATATTATATGTATAATAACAGTACTATTATTAGAATTATATGTTCTATTCCTATGTGCAACAGCAAATTAGTTATTTTTTTCTTCACTATTGGTTCCCTAAGAAATAGTATATGTGTATTATTCATGTAATGTGACAGTGGTAAACAGCAAATTCAGGAATATAAATTAATAGTTTATTTGTAGTGGATAATAGAAACTTTCATATTTTATTAGCAGGATTAAAGAGGCTTGTTCTAAGGGTATTTGTGTTTGTTGTGCAGGCAATTCCAGAGAGAGGAATCCAAGAGCAAAGTGAGATAGGGTTTATGTACTGGCACAGAAACTAGAGTGTCACCAGAGTTTACAATGTATTTGTGTTTGTTTTGCAGGCAATTCCAGAGAGAGGAATCCAAGAGCGAAGTGAGATAGGGTTTATGTACTGGCACAGAGAGGAGAAAGAGCAACATATCAGAGCCATGGTAAGGAGTATAAATTTAAAAAGATGGAAGTTTGAGTGACAGGACCATAGTCACCATTTTCAAAGATGGACCTTTACCATGGAACTTTTGTGTGTGCCTAGATAAAAATTTACACAGAGCAGATCCTTTTTTGGCAAACAGGGCAGTTCGTTTGACCCTTTCAGTCGCTTTCTACATTCCTGCCTTATCTTGGGTATTTTTAGTGTGGGAGGAGATATAAATCTCCCAGATATACAATATGAATGACAGTTGTCTTCTCTAGTTAATGGGAAATATGGAACTCTGTTCTTCTACATTTTAACATGGTTTATAACATAATGAACCACATTTTACTTATTAGAAATCTTGTGGTGTTTTTATGTACAGACACAGATGTGTCTGTACATATTGCCATCACCTGCGTCTGTCGTCGCCGATGCCGATGCCGATGCCGATGCCGTCGCCGGCGCCGTGCACTTTCCTTGTAAACATGATAAGTGGAGGGCAGTTTTACTTTTTGGCTTAATATTTACAGAGCTGATGAATATTCATAAAACGCAGGTCAAGTTCGAAAATCAGCATGATCGGGCCATTTTAAGGGAAGTTATGCCGTTTTTTCACTTTTTTCAGCATATATGCAATCCTGTAAACACATTTTAAGGAAAACNAGCTTTGCTGCCTTGTTCTATAAGTTGTCAATAGATATGAAATCTGGGGTTTTAGGATAATGCCCGACTTCAGGATTTTAGTTTTTTTTTTTCTTCTCCTATGGTCTAAACGCGACTAGAAATTGCAAAGTATGATTTCAGGATTTTCAGTCTTTTACAAATTTCACCCATGAATATGTACCTTATGTCTAGGAAATTTTGCTGTTTGTCTTTTAGGTTGGCAGTATGTATAAGACTCCACGCCATCCTATATGGATAACACTAGTAAATGGACTGTATGGACTGTTATTTATCTTTCAGGTTGGCAGTATGTATAAGACTCCACGCCATCCTATATGGATAACACTAGTAAATGGACTGTATGGACTGTTGTTTAGTGTTAACCAGCACCTGGTCAGTGACTGGAGAGTAGAACACAAGTTTGACCTCTATTATTACACTGGTCAAGCCACACAGACACGACCAACAAGGCTAAGTGTTGGTAGGTTTTTAGAAAACACCTTTTAGTGTTGGCAGGTTAAAAAAACATGTTTTACAGGTTATTCCCAAGAATTTATTTTAATCTTTTTGAATGAACTAACTGAAGTTTTTTTTTTTTCTTTGAAGATTGTTTGCTATTCAACATTTTGTAAAATTCAAGAGAGGTTTGAAGGGCATGTTGTTTAGCTCCTTCAACTTGGATAATTACTTCAACTTTCAGGGAAAAAAACTTATAATAACACAAAATTTTACAAAAATGTAGATCTTTCGTAATTTGTTTCCAGATTTTCAAAAGTTTGAATTTTTTTTTTTTTCAGAAACCCGACTGGGAAGAAGCAGTCACGCCAGAACTGCCCTGCAGAAAAGTGAGGAAGAGAAGAAGATACCTCCTCTGGAGAGGTGTATCATGACCAAGTAGGACCTGTTTTAATATCCTGTATTTTAAAAAAATACATCATTTAAAATGAAAAAGAAAAAAAAAAGAATATTGTATCATGACCAAGTAGGCCCTTTTATGGTATTCTGTATTAAAGAAAAATGTTGGATAATTTAAAAATGAAAAAGAAAAAAATATATATTGAGTCCAGTATTGTGATTGATCAGCAGTGTATGATAAAAATATGCAAGTTTTTTTTTTCTTTTTCATTTTTTGTAAATTTTTAATTTGATGATATACCTATTTTGCATTAGGTAGCATGCCTGTTAATTTGATTTCAAGTACACAATATAAAATAAATTTTAAAGTCTCTGTATAAATATCAAGTATTTCTCTTTACTTTCAGGTGGTTTGGTGCTCATATTGACTGGAATGGTACTATGCCGTATGTCACATAACCAATGCCTAATACACGAGAGAACTGATATAGGGAATATTATGGAACTCCTTCCTTAGCTTTAAGGTGCATTTACATTGAAGTTGGGTTAACCTTTTTGGACGTACCTTGCTTTAAGGTGCATTTACATTGAAGACAGGCTGATTTTTCTTGGACATACCTTGTTCTACAGGCTCTGTGGTTAAGCTAAACATTACACATGTAGTGTATGTATATATTCTGTTTGGTTTACAAAGTAAGTCACCAGTCCAGTTCATGATATCGATTATGGGAAGTGCTGCTTCCATGAACATCCATTTACTATAACTGCCACAGCTAAGTTTATTTGTAGGGAAAGTGGCCTGTTTAGATATGTCATCAACACTGTTATAGTTTATCATTTGTGAAACAGTTTTAGACGGAGAATGAGTTAACTTTATGTGGTCATATTTATCATACAAATGTCATTCAAAAGTTCAAGCACTTCAAACTTGAAATAATCCACATGTGTGTTGAGATGCTAAAGTGTAAAATTTGTTAAAGAAAGATGTTCAGAAGTAATTCCATGGAAATAAGTCAGCAAATACTTTTTAAAAAATATAAATTAGTAGTAGCATTGCTCAGTGTTCTGCCAGTGAGTTGCAATGGACAACTTTACCTCATAATTTTGCACTCTTCTTTTGGTTTTTGATTGTGTCACCAATTAAAGGATATTAACACTGTTATGAAGTTGAATATAAGTGTTTTTTTAAATAATAATTATCATTGTTATGTATTAATAAAAGAGAGGCATTGGTATTTTACAGGGACTTGGTAAACAACTAGCTGAACTTGTGACACAATTTTAAATTTTCATTTACAATTTTGAACATTTCTCTTTGGATGCTGAAATCAAAAGCAAGGGTTAAGCCATCACTTGTAGTTTTTTTTTTTCCAACTTTCCTAATCAAAACCAAACTATGCCATTTAGTGAATTGCAATCAGTTTGCTCTATGAGGAATATAGCACCAAAATTATGTCTTTTGTCTTATTTTGGATCATGGGGCAGATGTTGCAAAAGATTTGAATGCCATATTTTTCTTGCAAAGCATCAAAACTTGAATGAAAAAGAAAAATCAAAGGTGATTGAAGAAGGAAACAAAAGACTTGAATGCCATTCCAGCTGTTTCTGTAGCCAACAGAAAAAAATATATATAAAAATATATAACTCTCTCCTTCCTTTAATGTTTTATTATTAAATTTGATCACTGTAAGCAGGTAAACGATTGAGGTTAATAGTTATGTTGCACATTTAATCATAGTGTGAGCTAAATTATTTCTCCATTTGATAGGTTCTTCGCTTTTTTTATTTCACAGAATATAACTTTGGTTTTTGATCAAGTGTTGTGCTTCCTCTTTTTTCTTTAATTACTTATTTTTCACTAAATATTTTTATATAAATGATGTTTGTGCCAATTAATAAGATAAATGAATTCCCAAATTGAGATGTTAGTGTACAAAACCTTGTTCTAGATCTGTAGTAAGAGTTAATTTGTTACAGAGCAGTTTGTTTTAACAAATGCAGTAAATGTCTTCATCTGTGGAAAATGTTTCAACTTGAAATGAATCTACATGTATCTTCATGATTTCCCAATTAAAAAATTGTTAAGAAAATTTGAACAGTTCACATGATTTGTTGTGGATATACCCATGACAGTATTAATTCTTTAAATCATGATGATTTTACTCGTTAACGAGTTAGTTTTTGTTGTGTTTTACATTTGCTACTTTGGTTTTTGTTTGTGAAGTTGTTTGTAAAGGCTGTTATAGTAAATTATGTTCACTTTCAACCATGTTACTTAAAGAAACTATGTTACTTATAGAAATACCCATTGCAAAGGAATTTAGTTTCTGTAACTTTGATATCCTTTAACATTATGGAAATAAATGTAAGGATGTGAACTTACTTTTGAAATTTGTTTAACTCGGATATTTGGTGATGTGTTTTGTTAAGCTTCTAACAAACTTTTTAAGTTTTCTGGAAAATGTGTTATACTAGGTAGAACACTAGTATTTCACCATAACAGTTCATTTAAAATACAAAGAAAACACATGAAAATAATACACTTAGGGAATAAAAGTAAAATTTATTATCTTTATCTTAAAATCATTCAACAAATTTGTAAACATCATTATCTCTAATAAGTGTTGGTGTATATTAATAATTTCATAATTTACGTTAATACGGTGATACTTCAATACTTAAAAGTCCTGTTTGCAATTTAATATGTAGACCAAGTGCATGTTATTGTCTCTGAAAGAACTATTACATTTTGATAAAATGGTCCACATCCTGTAAGTCATGTCTTTTTCTATTCAAAAGTTCCAGTCATTATGACAGGTTTTTGAATACTGCTCTCTCATATAAATATATAATGATAATAAGAAATGGCATTAAATATAATGTTAATTAAAACTTTTTGTTTTCTGCATTTGGACATAAAAACGCAAACAGTGTAATAAGTGTTTTACCCAAGTTAACACCTTGGCATTACAAGGAAATCAAACTTTCACGCTGTATGGATAGATTTAAAATTCTAAAAGTTACAATTAAAAAATAGGCCCCTTTTTTTTTCTTTGCTAAAGAGGCAAAATGACAGGTAAAATGTTGTACAGAATTGAAAATAAAAACCAAGATAAGATGGATCTTTCAAACTAAGGTCTAGTGAATTAAAATCTCATTTATACCTAGTTGCTTCTTTGCTAATCTTTTAATACAGTACTGAGACTTGTAACATGTATAAATGATAATCATTAAAATAACCCAACCATCTGTAAAGGCAAACAAGAAGTGTCACATAAACTGACTAGAGACACATAAATTGACTAGAGACAACAAAAATTATTGTATATATCATAAACAATATAACATAACATAATTTATTGATATAAATTATAATAATAAATACAACTTGACTGTATCAATTTTCAACTGATTTTCAGTTGATGACACTCCTTTTAAACCATGATCTAAAAATTTTCATAAATGAATCTTTTCATCACCTGAAAGTTTTTGCTCCACTCTGCAACAATACTTGCCCATTAAGTGAAAAACAATAAAAAAAATAATTTTTTTAACCCCTATTTCGATCATTTAAACATATTGTCTTTAACATGATGTGAAACAATGAGATTAAATGTAGTCAACCAAAAACAAAATTGAAATGTGAAATAAATTATGATTTACAAGATGCACATGCAAAATGTTCACCCCGAGATGTCTGTTTAAAACATAAAAATGAACAGTAACAGTAGAAGTGAAGCAAAAAGGGCCAGCAACAAAACTGCCATGTTCTGAATGAGTCCTGTGATGGGCACCTTCCTAATTTCCTCGGCTGCCTTGTCCCATTTGTTTGGTCCCTGAAGACGCCACTGGGAGGCGCCACAACTGCTCAGCAGAAGCCTGCAAGACAAGACCACAAAAAGTTTTTAACAAGTTGAGAATGGATTTATCCATTAACACCATGCACAGCAGGGCTAAATGGATTACCTTCTTTTAAAAGAATTTTGATTTACAAAGCCCAAATCTTTTACAATATGGTCTCAAAATTGTGAAAAAGAACATAATGATAATAACCCTCAATGTTCGAACACATTAATTCGATAAATCTGCCAAAAAAAAAACAATGCTCTGTCATTCAATTATAAAGATCTTGTAGGGGTATTGAATCTCTGCCCATACATAACATGTTCTGAGCCAAAACATCACCTTTCATTCAATCATATCAACACCAGTCTGAGAAAGACATGACTACTGCAATGTGGCACAAGATTTTTAATGTTTGTGTCAAGAGAATTTGTCACTGTATACTTTCCTACCTCCAAGCTAACATAGGGTGTCTCCAAAGTTGAGGTTTGGCTCCAAACTTTGCAGCGATGTCATCGTTATACAGAATGGGGTCCTTCTGTATTGTATGTCTGGCTGACGCAAAGTAACGATCTGCATGCTGACGCTGAAATTCATAATGTTTATTTTTTTAATTCTTCAGAAATTTGGGGGAATCCTAGTGTAACAGTGCTCTTTATTAAAGATAAAACCCTTTCTAGTAATTATAAATTACATTCATTTGTCTACATTTTTTTAAAACAAATATAGTTTCTTTTTCATTTCTTATCATCTAAAGTGGTGAAATCCTCTTTCAGGGAAACCTCACAAACTAGTACTACAGAAATTTTGTTTAGCCCTCCACTTGATGATTCTATCAAAAATCACTCAATTCATCCATTTTTACCTTGTCTTTCTCAATACTCTTTTCCATTGCTTGCTTGCTGGGCAGTTTGACTTTACCCTTGCACAGCTCAGCAAACCACCTGGACTGTATCTCTGACATGGTCAAGACTCCCCCTGACGCTGGCTGGACGAAGCCTATGAAGGCAAGCGTGTGGCCCACTTCAGGAGAAAACACATTCTTGTACAGCTGAAAAGTTGGGTGGACATACAAGTTTAAATATCTGTCTCAGTGTTAAGTATTGGAAAGACTGCAGTATTTTTCTAACAAACTTATATTACTGTCATCTTGAAACATAAACATAGCATAATATAACATGCCATGCCTAACTTTATGCCAGAAAACAAGACAAGCACTCAAATCAGCAGTGCCAGTGATTAAATGATATTTACCCATTTAGAGGTATTAAATGTCATTTAAGCCCTAGAAGTACCTTGATGTGGTTCGTCCCCTCATCTAGCACCTTGGAGCGGACATTGTCTGCCAGATACGGGAGGTCGATCCTGTACCCAGTGCAGAGGACGATCTGGTCAAACTTCGCAGACTGACCATCAGTAAAGTGGACAGTTTTGCCTTCAATTTTCTGAAGAAGAAAAAATAATCCATTCTTTTAATGGAATTTCCTGACTTTTTTTTTTTTAAACACAACACTATATATGTGAAAAGATCAGTATAATTAGATCTCTGAATAATTTGCCTTACTGTGGCTAACAGCAACTAAGAAGAGCTCAATCTAAACTTTGTGGAGACCCTGAAAATAGATCAACCCTCAGCCTATTCACAGATACTGAAAAATGGCAGCTTACCCCTGACTAAAATTATAAAGGCGATTACTCCTCCAGATAAGATAAAATATATCCATTAGGTTAGTTTCTAGACTTAAAACACATTTTTATAAAGAAAAGGTTAATCTAGGTTACATTTCATTTCTCAAGTTGGACCAACTAAGGGGTAAAAGGTTCACTTTTTCAGAAAAAGAACCCCCTTTAAAATTGCTAGGTTCAGGCCTGCGTGGATGCAATTTTAATTCCATCATAACCTCTGACTCAAGATATTTCATGGTTGTACCTGAATATTTGGCACAATTTTGATCTGTCCTCTCTGTATGTGGTGGTAGAGGACAGGACTCACGCTAGGTTGGGTCTGTAAGGCATGCATCTTGGGATTCAAACCATACCTGCAGAAGATGAAGGAAACACTCTAAAACACATACCTTTTTGTGACATAACTGATACTTTCTATTTCCTGTTCATCTGTACTCTTCAATACATGTTAAAAGTAAAAGGCTATCTGACAACCTATTTATGAAGTCCTACAATATTTTCATTTAACTACTCTCATAATGGAGATAGAGACTGATGGATTTTACTCATAATGGTTTTTAATTATATTTTTATTTATATTTCAAAGTTCTTAAAAAGAAACTAAAATCTGTTTATAGATAGTAATTTTTGCAACTGATCTATAAAGAGTATACCTTTCCACATTGCATACCTTCAAAATAATAATAAAATTATCTTCATATTCACTCACATGCTAGGGTTCCCATGCAGCAACTTTATCACAGTTTCTAAGATGAATGTGCCCAGTTTCCAAGGCAACCAGAGGAAGGCACGGCAGGCGTAGTGGTCCACGGGGTGTCCAAAAAGGTAATTAGGTACCACCCAGGCTCCAGACCTGGTACTCAGCCACACTCTGGGACATCTGGTTAGAGGTATAAAAGATGCAGGTACTATATAAAAATTTATAAATCTACATTTTACGTGATGAACTTTCTACTGCCGCTAGACAGCAAGATTGGTTGTGCTCTGCTTTATTGAATGCACAAAGTCTTTGCAAAAAGGAAAGGCATCAGAAAATAAGGGCAGCAAGAGAAAATCTGTTATCTTCATTTAAAAGAGTGCATTTTAATAGTGCATTTTAATATGGCCTGCAAATTTCCATGATTCACGCTTGAGTTCTTATTTTTTTATTATTTTCAAGGTTATTGTAAGAAATTGATTTGTCACATCATTCTACACACCTTCCTTCAGTCACTGCATCAGTGGCGACATCTATTGCACTATTTCCAATGCCAACAACCAGCACACGTTTTCCCACTAGATTATTTGTGATGGCATCATTGTAACTAACACTGTGAATAATTTCACCTGGAAGATAATATTTACTTATTTTTAATTTTCCCTTTCAGATCATAGATACGTCTTAATATACTACTTGGCAGGTGTGAAAAAAAAAAGAAAAATGTCATTAAACAAAACTGATAAATTTCTAATGAGACATCATGCGTGTGAAAGTTTTAAAAGATGAAATATGAAATAATAAAATTACCTCTAAGACATTTTTTTACAATTATCTTTTGGTTTCCTGTCTCAGATATTATATAAGATGGTCTCATATAAAACACAAATTAACAAACAACCAAATAAATGAGTATATCAGTGAGAAATTATTATTATTATTATTTTTTTTTTTTTACCCTTAAAGCTCTCCTGACCAGGGAATTTAGGGTCTGGCCAACTGGGTTTTGCATGATGACCAGTTGCTATGGCAACATATTTACAAACATAGGTGTGTTTTTCTCCTGAAGTGTAGCCACCCTTGCCATCTTCTTCCACCTTGGATGTGTGAATGTGCCAGTCTTCTCCTGTGAGGGAAAAATAAATAAATAAAATAAATAGTCCAATGAAAAAAAAAAAAAAAACAAAGCTCTGACTTAGATAAAATGGTAAATTTACTTGTTTAACTGTTATCTAAACTCAGTGGTGTAAATCATTCATGACGATTTTTCCACCACATTTTCTCTACTAGTTTGTGAGTCAAGTAACTGGTAATCTGAAATATTGCTACTTTAAATACTGAAAGTATGTCTAGAAATCACATAAGATCATTTTTCACCGACTGAATATTGATGAGGTTTAAAATCTTTAAAGATTTTGGCTAAGTCAAAAATAACGCAATAGCTGAGAGAACATACAGACAAATGCATGAAACTGAAATGGCAACATTATACGAAAACTTACCTTTTTTCTCTAAACAATCTACCTGGGTCTGGAAACGTATCAGCTTGTTAACCCCAAAGTGCATAGTGTAGTCAGCAACATACTGCGCCATTTCTTTGTTGTGTGGGAAGTCAACAACATCATCTGGGAACGGGAAGTCCGAGAAGGCATAGTTCTGTTTTGATACATTTCTGAAAAACAATAGTTTAAAACTATAATATTCAAGATAAATTGATTCATTATTATTTAGTATAAATATATAAAATAAGGTGACTTCATGGACTTTTTTCAGATGACAACAAATTTGTGAACTTATAAATAGAGCACTGAAGCTGAATTGTACAAACTACAGATTTAGATCTTTAGTATAATATACGAGTCTATTCCCATAACTTTAGATCGATCTATCACCGCGGGCAGTCTCACTAGATTACTGTCAGATAATCCGCCTTAAGTGTCCGTCCCCGCCTACTACAAGCTGTCAGGGGTAATTAACTTTCGTGTCCACCCGGCTGACAGCTATTTAGCGTGAACCCCCAGGGAGTTAGGTCGATCTAAAGTAGGTGGATCTAATCTATGGAAATGGGGTGTATGTCTAAAATTGAAAAGCAGACTTCAGATGTTAGTAAATTGTATAGTTGACTTTTCACAAGGGCCTAAGTAAATGTCTCAAAACTAGAGCAATTTATGCTGTTTGGATTTATCAACATTTGATAACAGTAATCAAACACCTATTACAGTATTGTTCTACTACAATCATATCAATCAGTTCAAAGACCAATGTAAATGTTTAACCTGTGTCACGTATATTTGCTGCAATATTTCATGTTCCTTGAATTCTAACATTAGATTCAGTAGAACCAATCTATCAAAATGGTTGATCAATATCATTCCAAATAACCCTGTTTTGGTTAACTCTCTCTCTCTCTCTCTCTCTCTCTCTCTCTGTAACTAATTTTTGTATTCATTTATCCATTTATCTGTTCATTTATTTGTTTTTTGTTGTTGTTTTTTTTACTTTTTTGGTTCTGCTTGCTTTATTAATTATAATTAATTAATTTACTTGTTTATTCATTCAGAAGATGGTATTGTATGCTAATTAAAAAATATAAATTGATTTTAACAGATTATTCAAGTTGAAGTTATTTTAACAGCTAATAACTGAAGCTGACACAGTGTAAATGCATTGAAGCCGTGTTGGTCGAGAACGCCTAAACAAGGTCATATCCGAACACCTTATCTCATCGAGTCTTTACATTCCCTTCAGCTGAGACGTCAAGGGTGCCAAGACAGTCATGGTGAAAAATATTCCACAAACAAAGAATTCTAAGTCCCCTTTAGCTGGCAGCCCATAACACATTCAAAATATTTCGATTTTCATTTAAAATTAATTTCAAGGTTGTCATATACAGTTCATAATCTTATACAGCACAATGGTTTTACTGGTTTACCTTAATTCCTTTCCATATTTTTCCAAGGCAATTAATTTCTTTGACTATTTGTTGCATTTCTAAATGAAAGACAAAAGAATAAGACCAAACAAATTTACGTATTTGCGGGACGGGGGGGGGGGGGGAGGGGAGAGAGAGAGAGGGAACAACATAGCTTCCTTCCTACGCAGCTGACAAAACAAAAGTAAAATAAAGTTGGGGTAGAAACGAAAGCTTTGGTCTTTTTGAGGATCTGAATCTGCCCACATACCACCATACTCACATATGCGTGAATCTCATCACTCCATATCCTTGTTCTCTGAAAGTCCACAGTCCTCCGACTTCGTCCGTCTTTTCCAACACAATCACTTTAAAACCAGCATCTTGCAGACATTTCGCTGCGACGATTCCCGAAATGCCGGCGCCTATAACGACCACCTGCGTTCGCGTCGTCTGCGTTTCAGCCATGGAGGTTGTCTCTTTGCATGTGGGGTGTCTCTAGTGAGAACAACGTGACAAATTTCATGTGACAATGGGACAAACTTTGGTCTCGTGGACCCCTGGCTTATGCTGGTTCAAAGTTTGCGGCACATCTTGTCACGTCCTCACAGCGCCATCTATTTCCGGCTTTGCGCAAAGTCGCCGTGACGTCACCACAGCCAAGTCAAGGAAGGGGATTCTTTTCTACATACTGGTAAAGTATTTCGATTTTCCACCGATTTTCATACTTGACATGTCATTATATTGAACCATGAATTAATACTCCATCCCTGAGTAGTCGTACTTTAAGTTTTCGGCCTTGGTTGGCGTTCAGGTTTTAGTTTTTCGCCGGTTTTCGAGAGTATCTGGGTCATCACTAGCATTTGGATCCTGAGTACACGCTTTATAATAATGGCTTCTCATTCATAATCATTTGTCAGGAGAAAGATCTCGTTCTGGTCAGGTTTCTGCCTGAATGTGTCAGTTCTCAAGAAGAGAGATGGGCAACGGGTTTGAGGACGCTTCCAAGTCGACTCCTTACTTAGTTCGTCCAATTCATACACCTGACAAATTTGCCTCCCAGTGCGTAACGTTACGTGAATGTTTATACCCGATCGTTTTGATCAGCTCGGATAGCATCCATTGATAATATTAGCCCCGGCATGAGACCTTGAGGTTGACCTTCTGAGTCACTGGGTTGATAAGGCAGGTAATCTGCACCAGGCGGATTTTGACCAGCCATGTACTTCGGCTAGTTGTATTGCCTAAAAACTCACATCTTTACTATAAAAACACACAAAATTAGTTTCAAATATGCCTGAAAATATGCTTGAAGACTTACATTATATTTTTTGGCTGATATAAACTAGTACTGTCTTATTACAATGAGTGCAGTGCTTGTCTGGATTAAATCCCAAACAGTTTAGGTACATTTTATTCAAGGTAGGGCAGGTAAACAAGCCAGCCATTGATAAGGCCTATGACTAGTATTGACAATTGTTAGCAAAAGTGGGTGTGTCCCTTTCGGGGTACATATACCTGAGTCGTCCACTTAATGACCGCTCAGACAAACACAATTAACTTGTGTGTAACAGAAAGAGGATTTAGGACTGGACTTGTCCCATTACGTTATTTATTTATTTATAATTAGGTCAGCAGTTGTCCAGGTAAACGGAAACCAGACGCTAAGGCACCAGACAGGTCAAGAATGCATCCACATATTTTTATCACTGGCCAAACACAATTTTGATTGATGACCTGAATAAAGAAAAGGGTTCATATTTCAGTGAGGAAAAAATAGGATATATGTTTAATACATACAGTTCATACAGTAGGTTTAAGTAAAAATTTTCAGCTGGTGGTTATCTGGTAAGGTACAGGGCCCTGGAATATTGATTAATGGTGACGAGAAGCTGATTGGAAAACTCATGAATGGAATTAATTGATCATTACTGCTTGTCTGTTAAATAAGAAGTGGTATCTGCATCAATTTGCTGTGCAATAGTTTTTTTTTTCTTGTCGGGAAATTGTGAATAATAATATCATTGTTTATCACCATATATCTGTAATCATGTGATTTAACCTAACCAGGCATCCAGGTCCAGGTATTAGGTTTGTGTTGATTTTGTACTTGCAGTTTTATTGTCCTAAATCTGCTCTTTTTGTTTTCAAAAAGCATGTGCTTGTCTCGAAGGATTGTTGCATGTCAGTAGGTATGTTTAAATCTGCATTTATTGTGGGCAAATAGTTTATAAAATACTTTGAGAATATTGCAGTTTTTTCCTATTCCCAGTGAATCAAATACAGAAATAGGTTCATGTAATATCATTATAAAATCACATAAGATCTAAGACCATAAGCTGATCTATCATCTTTAAAATGCTTGTAACAAAGATATCAAAGGATGACTTCAAAGGATACTTTTTTCCTCTTCTTTAAAGGCAGATCCAAGTGGTGGTTGGAGGAGGGGGGGGTCACAGTGGGTCTATTTCCCATAATTTTTATTTACTTACACCCCATTTCCATAGATTTTTAGATCGATCTATCCCTGTGGGGAGTATCACTAGATTACTGTCAGCTTGGCCGGCTTAAGCGTCTGTCCCGCCTACTAAAAGCTGCAAGGGGGTAATTAACTATGGTGCATGCTCGGCTGACTGCAATTTAGCGTGAACCCCCAGGGAGTTAGGTCGATCTAAAACTTAATCTTTAGATCGATCTAAAACTCTGGGAAAGCACCCTTACTTTTATTATTTTTGTTGAGATTTAAGATAGTTATGTATGAACACGAGACTGCACCAAAACTTTAGCACAATTTTAGGGACACTTGTTGAACTTGAGCCAGATGTCAATAAACCTTCATCAGGTCATTGCCCCAAAACTGTTAACAGGTGCTTACTAGTATATCATATGGTTGTATTTATAAACTATGTCCATGTGGTACAGCAAGAGTTCACTTGACATTAGTTATCTGAGGAAAGCTTAGGAATGAAAATTGTTACGATGATTTAATGAGTATCTGTTAACAAGTACCAGTACTAGTTGGATAGGAGTCACCGACTTGATTTCTGTTTAAACCCCCTTTACACTGGACGACATCCTTTCTGCGTCCTTTGAGTGACAAGGAAACTGGCAGCGCTATGTTCGTAAAAAGGAGGCACAAGCATCACTTTGGTTGCAGAAGGAATTTTCATTGGTCAACACTTGAAGTATTATGTGTTTTTTACTCTCAAACGGGGCTGCACTACGGGACGCAGAAAGGACACTGTAAAGGGGGTTTTGCTAAAGGATGAAGATGAGCATGGAGTGCATTCAAGTGTATATAATTATAGGCAAGTTTACACCACTTGTTAACAAAAAAAGAAGTGCGGTTATCCTTTTGTTGGAAGCTTCAGCTGAGCTATGTAATAACATGCATTATATCAGTGAAAGTTGCTGTGATTATTAATTGAGTATAAGCATTACATTATAATGGATAAATTTTAAATCCTTTAAATTAAAAATTGCCCAGTTTATTCACCCTGAGCTTCAGAGCTGACTTGACACTAACCTTTTCACTGTAGCCTATCTCCATCGTGTCAAGTAACCTCTGACGAAAATAGTTTGACCTATTTTATATAAGCCAATCGAATCCATGTTTCAAAATTTTTCACCAAAGTTTGGTGAAAACGCTGATTGGTTGATCGTCAATCGGCAATCCTCGGCTGATTCCGCAAGCTCCATACTAACAACATAGTTATTGTCGAGTGCGGAGACATCCGAGTAGTTCCGAGTGGTTCCGAGTGCATAACCGTACACAAAGAAAGCATGGAGTATATCGGAATTGAAACCAGAGCAGTATGATGCCCTGCATCATTATCTACTGAGGGATGATGTATTTTGCGTGCTGCCCACAGGTTACGGCAAGTCCCTGATATTCAGCCTTATCTTTGATTGGTCCGGATTTGAACAAAGCGCGCTTTGACTCGTTCGCGTTCATTGGCTAGATCGTTCAATGAGTCATTGAGTGCGGGCTTTAAATTTGATTGGCGGGCGGCGGGGGCACTCGAATCTGGTCAGAGGTTACTTGACACGATGGAGATAGGCTACAGTGAAAAGGTTAGTGTCAAGTTAGCTCTGAAGCTCAGGGTGCTTCAGCTGTGTTTCCCAATAAATTGATTCAGAAGGGTGCCCTCTCTCTGACTTGGGTCTAGTCTCTATCAGATGGAGCTTAAATGGCTTAAAGGCATATTAATGTATAATTTAGAAATGTCCCCAAGTCCTATTTTTATGTCGAGTAATCTACTTAATAAATTTGTTTCTTATTGTCATTAATTTAGACCTTCAAAATAAAATAACCCCTCCATTACATGTACCTAATGGCGATGTTTCCTTCTGAAATCTTAAGAAGATTATTGCCTTTTAAATGGCAGTACTGTAGATATTAAATTTGGGGTTGATTTTACAAAAGAATATAAGAATGAAAGTTGGTCCAAGTTTTCAGGGTTTTTTTGTACTTTGATCCTAGGTTGAAAACACCCCAGTCCACTTTCTGTGAAATTACGGTATGTGCCTGTTGTAAAAATGAAAAAAATTTTTTTTTTTTTTTTTGTTAACTGCTGCATAGTCAGTACTGGTATACTAAAAATTTTGGCCAGAAAGTTGAAAAAATTTTATTCTTGTGACCCTATGTGAAATCATCCCTTGATTGTGCTCCCCCCCCCCCTCCCCCCCACCTCCCACCGTTTCTACCCTCAATATGTGCTGGAGATGGTGGAAGCAAGGAAGCAAAGCCAAAGTGCCTGCTTCCTTAGAAAGAGAAAATAGGGGAAAAACTCCCCAATATATATATATATATATATATATATATATATATATATATATATATTTATATATATATATATATAGTTTATTAGTTGAAACATATGTGAACTTTTCTCCGAGAGTTAAGAATAGACTGCAGTGTCTGTTGTCTGTGGAGTGTATTGACACTTGGCTGTAAGTAGACAATTGAAAGTCTATATACGGTTAGTCTGGCAATTACAGAAATAGAATCAAATCAGTCTGGGGAGTTGAGGAAGAAATAGGAGCCAGTGAATGGGAGACCAGGTGGTGTGGTTGTGGTCGAGTTGTGACGGCTTAACTTAGAACTGCATTTGGAATACTTGAGAGGTTAGGATTTCTAATAATAGGGAGAGTTTCTAGATGTTTTTACTTTCGCCACTGTTGTTTGAAACTTAGTGGATGTAGTTTTAAAGAAAGCGTAACCACACTGTTTTTTGTGAATGGTATTAAGTGAGGTAGATGTTGCTGAACCAGAAATGCGCCCTAAGATCAAATATTGCAAAAAAAAATGGTGACATCTCACTTTACTTTCAGCGAATTGCAGAAAGATGTATCACCTTTTAATGNTCCTAGATGTTTTTACTTTCGCCACTGTCGTCTGAAACTTAGTGGATGTAGTTTTAAAGAAAGTGTAACCACATTGTTTTTTTGTGAATGATATTAAGTGAGGTAGATGTAACTGAACCAGAAATGCGGCCTAGGATCGAAATATTGAAAAAAAAATGGTGATATGTCACTTTACTTTCAGCGAATTGCAGAAAGATGTATCACCTTTTAATGGATATATGGGATGCATTTTTTTCATGCCATTAGTTTGGGAATAATTTTCAGTGAGTGACAAGGTGAAACAAAGATGGCGTGGGGTCAAAACCAGCCGGTAGATCCAAGATGCAATATCTGGCGTATTTTCTAGATCAGGCCCATTGGGGGGGGGGGGGGGAAAAGAAGGGGGGGTTTGAAAGAAACACCCTTTTTTGTCAGGAAAAGGTTCATTCTGGGTAAAATTTTGTCTAGGTACACAGAAGTTTCATTTGTTAGGAAAAGATTCGTTTTGGGTAAAAATTGATCTAGGTACACAAAGTTTTCATTGTAAAAGATCAACTTTTTTTGAAAAATAACCCCCCTTTTGAAATTGCTAGCTAGGGTCTGTAGACTGAATAGTAATTCCCTCTCAAAATAGAACATATCCATAGCTTGGGGCGGTTTCCGTAGTTTGCACCCAGTCAAAACATCATAGGTTTGACATGAGGATGAGGTTTTGTAGTGTCTGTTATGTTTTCTCTCAGCCAAATCAATCATAAATTGTGCAAAGCTAATCATATAGCTTTAGTTTCTCTAGCCAAAGTGAATAATCGTTAAAAGCATTTTGGAGAGAAATGATATTTTATGCTTGAATGAACTTTGAATGGAATAGGGTATTTTTAGCATGCTTCCTGTGCCTTAGGGGTGAAATTTTAGCGAGTTGTCTTAAGGTCACTCACGGTGTGCGTTCACACTAGGTCGACTTTCAGGTCAGTGTGAAGTGGCTCAGAGGTAGCCTATCCTCATTTGAAAAATGTCCCGAAGTTATATTTTCCAATACCTACTAGTACTTTATTTAGGTGGGCAACTAAGGATTTATCCAGGGATGAGATTTTTCTGACTATTGGCAGGCTTCTTACTCTTTGGGAGCCAAAATATCATTGGCCTTCCCCCTGGACACCACACTATGTTTCTGACTTTTTTTACTTCATGGCAGTCTCGTCCCTTTTATTGTGAACTGAAAACTATATTAAATTTCAAATCAAAGAGTTTGCAATGATTTTCAGGTTTAAATTAATTTATAAGATTAAATTGTAAAATCTTCTTCAGATGAAATAAATCTCTTTTCCACAACAGTGGAAATGGGTTTTATTTGGCTTCTTGTGACAAGAGGTCTCTATAGTTTGCAATTTTAGCTTAATTTTGGTTTAAACTGGACCTAGTCTGAATGTGGCATTCAAGGGCGAGTACCATATATACAGTGTAGTTACCAGTTTAAAACCTGGGGATTTCCAGGAAAAGACCTATCTTGTTGATGTATAGGTTTCCTGGTTGAACACTTTAATGGCAGTCTAACATGGAAGACGAGGAAATATTAGCTTTAGCAGAAATTTCCTGACAAAAATGGTGATTTGAAGATATATAGATATTTAGTGAACCCGGACAGAACCATACGTGAGACATTTTTTATGGAGCATATTTCTAAGTTCCAGGTGATGTTATTAAGACGTAATTGGTAGATACTCTAAAATATCAGAATATTTTTCTATTATAAAATATTAGGTTAAAGAGTAAAGTGGGGCATTTATATACTTGGTACCAATAAAAATTATTAAATTTTAGCAGCTCCTTAAAATTGATAACAATTACAAAAAATGTTTCTTCTTGTTATTCCAATGGCCCTTTTTGTCCATTGTTTTCATGTTCATACATATGTTCATACAAAAAACAAAGAAAAAAAACATTCCATATGGTATCATGTAGAACATCAGATTAAGTTATTGTGTTGGTAGAAAACCACATGGATACCAACAAACATGATTGACAGGGTGGCCCTAAAATATGGACATGGGGGAAATTTCACTAATCACAATTAACTTTTATTTATTTATTTATTTATTTATTTATTTATTTTAAACTAAAGTTTTGTAAAGCACATCAAACTTTGCATTTACAAATGGTGGAAAGCTCACTGATTTTATTATTAATTATTATAGATGTTATTTGTGAATATTTTGTTAATAATTTAAAAAGTAAAATATTCGGTGATAATGCCCTTTGGTAATGGCTAAAATTTTTGCAGTAAAACGTACACAGTGTTAGCTTTGAGCATCAGTTTTCTTCTTTGAACTTAATTGCACATTGTTTTACAATTCTTTTTTTCCTTTGAGTAAATACTGGCAGTATGTCCAGACTTTAGGTCCACCCTGTACTCTGACAGCTGTGATGTGATATATATTGTCTTATGACCATGGTTGCTGACTAATGACTTATGAAGTATATATTGACATATCTGTAGTTATATAACATATCTGCAATCTATGGTTGACATCTTTGTGTCTGGGAGCTGACTCATAGTATGATATGGTCTGGATTAAGGCGCATTCACTGTCCACTTCTGATGGCTTGATTTAGTGCCGTCTAAGAGTGATTTTGGTATGGATTAAGGCGCATTCACTCTCTACTTGTGATGGCTTGATTTAGTGCAGTTTATCTCTGCACGCTCATGATAACAATTTCAAACTAGGGGCCTTATTTATATTAGAATTTAAAGACAAAGAGTTGATCTTTACTTAAGACCAAAAACTATTTTTAAAAAGTAATTAAAAATTAGCAAAGAAATCTTTTTGGCAATTTGTTCCTTTTTTGCAGTAACTAAAATTTCAGCTATTTGGTTTTTAAAACAATAACTTTATATAAATATTGTAATATAATTCCAAGAAGCCCTGGTATCAGAGGATATATTTTCTGGATTGAAATATACAGGCATTCTTGCCTTCAGGGTTGTACTTGACATTTTTGGCATGGCACTGGTAAACAGTCTGATATCAAGAATTTGACATTGAGGGTAACTAAATTTATAGGTCAAGTGAAATAGAAATTGGGCTAGGATTATACTTGAGAACTTGACATGGTCCTGGTAGCCACACTTGGTGTGGTGTAAACAGGGTCTCACTCATAACGTGCTTGGCCGTGTGAGACATTACTTACAATGTACTTCCTTACAAGTAGGCCTTTGGCCCACAGATGGGTAGAGGCCCTCGACGGCTCTTCGCCAGTGCATTTTATCCTGGGCCATTTTGGCTATTCCCATCCTGTTGGTCCTGTGCTGTTTCAGTGACGTGGTGTCTCGCCTTCAGCTGTTATGAGATGGGCCTTGAGGTCAAGGAAAATCTTTGTTTTTCAAGTTGAGAGAAGACAAAATCATTTCTGATTGGATTTAGCTCCTCTCTTTCCCGCACTTCCATATTGCTTGTATTTTGATTACTTGCATGATTTCTATACTAGTATAGTATGTGTGTTAGCTGGATAAAGGGTTAAGCTGTATTCAGGACAGTTTTAACAGAAATGTTTGGAATTCATTTCAGAAAGTAGACTGATAGAAAACCCTGCTGTGCACAGTAATCTCCCCCCCCCCCCCCCCCCATCCCTTGCATCCTCATCCATTGTTGGCTATTTTCCTTGTGGACCACAGAAGATTTATGTGTTACCATTTTCTTGCTGAAGTTGGAAATGTTATTTAAAACATCTGTGAATGCGCCCTTTTCTTCCTGGTGGTCATGAATTCCTATTAAGATTGGTCATCATGGTAACTTAATCAAGTTATTGCTAATTTCTTAATTAGTACACTCCTGGGTGTTAATATGTAGAGCTTAATTTGGTCAAAGGTGAAGTAGAGGAGTATTATTCAGTTATCTCTCTCCCTCTCCCTCTCCCTCTCTCTCTCTCTCTCTCCCTCTCTCTCTCTCTCTCCCTCTCTCCCCATGATTTAATGAAAATGATTGTACAATTTCTGTATTTTTTTACCGTTGCAGAAAGTAATCACATCCACATTGGAAGTGGTCCAGGAGTCTGTCACTGTTGACCAAGTAGACAACAGACGAGAGGTGGTCATCTATTGCTGACCTCTGTGTGGGCACTGGTCATTCACAAGGCAGTAAAGAGGGGAAAAAGAACCAGAGTTTTAACCATCTTCCACCACCTGCAGACTCCGCCATTTCAAATCCAGTTCCCAGTCAGAAAAATATTGCTAAGAAAGATTTACCTCAGTCATAAGCTCACTTAGAGAGGATAGAAGTTTGTGGCAGGGAAAGAGAGAAAGAAAAAAAGAAGAAATCAACTCTGCAAGCAGACAGATCTCTGAACCAGGAAGTCTAGCAGCCAGTGTCGAGTTTCTTCTGGGAGAATGCAGCAGTTTTAGAATCAAAAGAAAGCTTTCCTCAAAGTCTCTGGCAATCTTTTCTCCCTTTCTCTTGCTTTCTCCGAAGTGACCCAGTGAAACCATTTTGCTAGGACTGAAGGGAAACAAACTAAAGATGCCACTGTTTGGGAAATCACAGAAAACACCGCAGGAGATGGTGAAGAATTTAAAGGAGGCTATTTCACAGATTAGTAGGGAGGATAAGAAAGGAGAGAAGGTAAGCAGGTTTGCAAAAATTTATTTGAAAAACTTCTTACAGAGGAATGAGGAAGTTTTTACCAGTAACCGTTTTTTTTGTTTTTTGTTTTTTTTCTGAAGTGAAGTTTTTCTCAGCTGGTCTCCGGTAAGATACGCCCTTCATCTTTAGTTTATTAAGGTTAAGATTGAATTTATTATGTAACTTTTGTTTTCAAATAAATGCCAACATTATTATTGCTGGTGTTGTTAATTATGATGATAATGATGATAATTATTATACCCCCTTACTCTCTAGGCTTCAGACGATGTATCAAAGAATCTAGTGTTAATGAAGACGCTGCTGTATGGAGCAGGTGACCAGGAGCCTCAGTCTGAGCAAGTGGCGCAACTGGCGCAGGAAATCTACAACAGCAAGCTGCTGCTACTTCTGATACAGAGTCTACATAGGATTGATTTTGAGGTGAGTGACACTCCTTTTACGTTTGGAAGTTATAATTCATTTCAATTCAGTTCAGTTCATTTCTGTACTGGTACATAAATTATCATGACCTTGTACAATATTAATATAATGACAACAATACAGTTGGTGCGTTACCATTTCTCTTATTGGTAATTGTGTTGCCAGTTTGTGAATGAACAAATATATATCTTTACATAATGAACAGATGTACTAGTTAAGTTACTAATAAGATATCCAAGCTAGGCGGTGAGATATATTGTGGTAAACTCTGCTCCCTGATTAAGCAAATTTTGTGAAACATGAAAATTGATGTGCAAGGCAAGTGTAAGGAAGTTATGATCATATGGTCTAAATGTAAAGATAAATTGCAAGCTACGATGTCAGGTTTTTCCGTTTTAATTTACAACTTTCACCCAAATCTTTATAACTTGTTTTTGTTGTTGTATATTTTTAGGGCAAGAAAGATGTAGCTCAGATCTTCAACAACGTTCTACGCCGCCAGATCGCCACTCGCTCGCCAACTGTGGAGCACATTTGTACCCAGCCAGAGATTCTCTTCACGCTCATGAAAGGGTGGGTAGTTTTGAACAAGATTGTGTTCTGCTCTGATGAAACATAAAATAAATCAGAAACCAGGTCTGCCTTTGACCTTCACTAAAATTTAAGAAAATTTAAATAAGAAAAAAAAAATGGACCTCACAAATCTTATACTGCCTTGAAGTATAGGAGTGTGAGCACTTCAAATTATTATGATCACAGAGTGGAAAGTGAATTCAGCCATTGGGAAGTGATAAGTAATGTGACAAGTGATACTGAATGTACAATAACATTGAATGAGCTGCTGCTTCCACCTAGAAAGTAAACATAATTTGTTGGCACGAAACTCTTTAAGGGGGTGTTCAGTTCACACCTTGAGAACTTTTTATTTCGCATAAGTGTTGATTTTACCAAATAAATGTGAAGATTGCTTTCAGCTGTAGTGTCATGTTTGTTGGGATGGGAGGGGTGCAGAGTATGGGCATGCATATTTATTTATAGGAGTAGGTGTACGTATGCACGTGCATGTTGTTAACCCAGCCTGTATTAGATTTTAACTTAAAATCGGCATAAATTAAATGTACAAGGTTGGTAGATAAAGACTGAACTTGCTGTCCAGCACACATTATACAGAGATAAGATTTTTCTGACTTACGTCAGATTTCCAACTTATTGGGAGCCAAAAATATCATTGACCTAGGCAGCCCCCCTGGACCCTACGCCATATTTTCTGACCTATTAACTTAATGGCCATCTCATCCCTGATTATATACTGACCATATTTTCTTGTTAACCTCAATTTTTTCCTGTTCACCTCATGCCTGGGGGATACATAATTAAGGTGCATAATCAAGATAAATCGTGTGAACGAGGTCTTCAGGTGTGATGTCTGCACTTGGCTGACCGTTGATTATCCATTGCCCAGGGCACCATAATCTGGGTGATGTTTACATGTTATAATATCCACTTAGGTACATGGACTGCTTAGAGTCATAGACCCCATTCCCATAAACACCATTGGTCTCCATGGATCAATCAAACTCTACAGAGACTCTTGCTGAGTGCAGTCAGCTTAACTGAATGGCACACCTCTTGTTTCCAACTTCTCATATATATTTATCAGCCTTTTCTGTATTTTACATAATGCCAGGAGTTGGTGTGTGAATCTGTTGAACTGATTGCATTCAGCGAGAATTCCCACAGAGTCGGGTCGGTCTGCACAGACAGATGCTGCTTGTGGGAATGTAGCCATAGCGTACCCTTACATACCCAGAGGTCATGTGGTATTCAAGATTCAATTTGTTTTATTACAGTCTTACCCATAAAAAATGGCACATAAAATAAGAAGTTGAAGGAATGCTTGGCAGCTAAATACAGTGACATAAGAGACTGGATTTTACAATTAAAATAAGCAGACGTAAAATTAAAAGTTCAAATCATTACCACCTTATGAGAATGAGATATGGCTCATTGCTGGTCAGTATAAACTGTAAGGCATATTATACCCGTTTGCACAACAGTCATTTATCCGAATAATTAGCGAATTAGGTCCCGATTCGAATTACTGTAGTAGTCTGAACGCATGAGGATTTTTATTATGCGGATTTTCAAAATCCTGCTAGCGAGGTGGATTTTCTTCAACCATTTGAATAACTTACCGGAACCGACACCTGTACAAATCTTACTGCGCATGAGTGCAGATAAGTGCGGGTATCTATGAATGCTTGTTTATTACTTTAGCGATTGCACTAAACGTATTTGGAGGTCACTTCTCACTACAACATGCAGAAACATAAACTTATTTTGCCATCTTATACTTCCCAAGAAAGCTGGAATGTCTTTTGAGTAGCATTTGTCATCACAAATTTTTGTTGGTATTTTAAGTTTTCATGTGCGGCGCAAGCGCTAGTGTTCAAAATAGGAATTTAAACCTGAAATTTTCAACGAAGGATTCGTATTCACTTCGCGTGTGTGAACGCAATACCGAATCGAATTCCTCGTGAAAAATTTTGTATTGTAGAAATGCGCATTTTTGCAACTGTAGTGTGAATGGGGTATGAGGAGTCCGAAGTAATTTAGAACATAGGCTAACTAGTTAAAGATTATTATAAGTAAAAAGAATGACATAGAAAAGTAATCTTGCTAAAAATGGAGGAGTTTCATTTATCTAAGAGTTGGTTCCAAGGACTCTGCAAGATATAACAGGCATGGGCTTTTTCCACGGAAATGTGGAATTCCGCGTTTTTTAATTCAATTCTGATAGTATATTGTAGGTTAAGTCTGTGTAGTTTCTGAAAAATGTTCAGAAGTTTTTTTTTTTTTTTTTTTTAGGCCCATGTCCGATATAAGGTCATCTAATCATATTCTCTGTTTAAGAAGCCTATCCATATTCTTTCCTCAGGTTACTCTCATCTCCTCTAATGTCATAATTGCCATTATTGATTTTTTTTCCCTGTCCTCATGTGTGTTGTGATCCATAGTAAGTCTTCATTTTTTAAAGGCTAAATGTGATTTGGTGAACTTGGTCATTTGTCAGGGCTGATTATGTTTTAATGTAGATAGGGTCAAAGCCATTGTGATCTCTTAGTAACAGAGGATGCAGTTAGAATGGAACCTCCATTGTGTCCCCTTTTGTAATAACTAAATAAATTTGATGAGAATTATCCATGATGTTTCTCAGAAATGGGTTTTGTTTGTCGTGATTTTTAGTTTTTGAAATGGCATTTTGAAAATTTTAGAATAGCAAATTGGGTTTGTCTTCAACTGGTTTAAGTACTTCTCATCTTTCATGTCCTTCCAAATTGCTAAATATGTAATTCAAATAATGGTTACAGGATATTGCCCTTTACTGCTGCATGAATTTCAGATATGAGAAACAAGAGATGTCCTTTGGCTGCAGTTTAGCAAACTTAGAATAATACAGGGTTAAATGAAATTTAGGACCCCTTCTCTTCATTAATGCCCTCAGTTTATTTCTAGTATTCAAATATTAGTATCTGGACATCGTAATTAGCTGGAGTGTGATGTTGATGGAGTTTTATTATGATGAAGCCTTGCAAAGAACAAGACGTGATTAAATGCTATTTAGTACTGCTTTAGTACTGCTTCTCGTCATTTTCAAATAAAAAAAATAAACCAGGGTTAAATGATATTTAGTACTGCTGCTTCTCATTTATGCCCTCCATGTATGTTTCAGCTATGAGCAGCAGGAGATAGCGCTGAACTGTGGTATGATGCTGAGAGAATGTTGTCGTTACGAGGCCCTCGCCAAGATCATGCTGTACTCTGAGGAGTTCTACAACTTTTTCCGCTACGTTGAAGTCTCTACGTTTGACATCGCTTCGGATGCCTTTTCTACATTTAAGGTGGGCCCTGAATGTGGATTTTGTAAATTAAAAATAAATAAAATAAATGAGGAGTGGTTTGGATTTAAGTCACCAAGGAAGGTAGTTTTTTTTAAACAATATTATTAATTAATTAACAAGACAAACAAAAATGTGGTAGAAGTGTTAAAACTTTCTGTTTTATCTAGATTCAGATTTATCTAGATTAAGCTGCTAAATTTTAATTCTAACTTACTCATACTTAGCTGTTTTATAAAAAGTAGGAATATTGACAAATTTTTTTGATAATAAATGTTTACAATTTTTCATTCTCTTGATATAATTATGATTCACTTATTTATATTAAAACTTTATTATTTTGATATCAATATTGTAGGAGCTGTTGACCAGGCACAAGATTCTGTGTGCGGAGTTCCTGGAGGCCAACTATGGCCGTGTATTTGACCAGTACCAGGCCTTACTGAACTCTGAGAATTATGTCACCAGGAGACAGGCGCTCAAGGTGAATACAACCACACATCCCTCCTCTCTCTCTCTCTCTCTCTCTCTCCCCCCCCCTCTCTCTCTCTCTCTCTCTCTCTCTCTCTCTCTCTCNACAAGTTTGTACGTGCTGTTTGCGTCCTCCCAAAAGTCGCACGATGAACGTGCTCCTCACGCACGAACTCCCACGTTTTCCCCATTTGTTTGGCCGTAGACCACACGTAGCAGCCCGTATGTTCGGTTGGGACCTAGGCTTAAATAGCTTTCAGCTTTAACTACTTAGAAGTCTGTTACGCCTATTGAATCAGCTAAAAGATAATTAATTACCCCTTAGCATCTTCAGTAGGCGTGGCAGACATCTTAGCCGCTTAAGTCGATTGCAATTTAGCAAGAATTCCCTCGGAGATGGATCGATCCACAGTACTGTCCCGCCAGAAAGTCCCCGTACCAAAAGGCTCCATGGTCTCCCAACCCTGCCCCTTCTCTCTCTCTCTCTCTCTCTCTCTCTCTCTCTCACACACATTTTTGCTTCAGCTGCTTGGTGAGCTTCTTTTGAATGGGCATTATTTCACACACACACACACACACACTTAATTTTACATAAGATATATATGTTACAGTATTTACATAAAATATTTATTTTATTTTGTTTATATTTATTTGTACTAATTGTTATTTGTTACATTTCCCCACCTTCAGCTGCTTGGTGAGCTCCTGTTGGACCGACATAATTTCACCACCATGACACGCTACATCAGCAACCCAGACAACCTCAAGCTCATGATGAACATGCTGCGAGAGAAGAGCAGGAACATCCAGTTTGAGGCTTTTCATGTTTTCAAGGTAAGATCAGGGCCTTTTTGGTCTAAGATTGAGATTTTAGAAAATTAGGTTTTGTAAAAAGTGTAGAAAAAAGGCAGATGAATGTTTGATAATGTAGCCTCTTTTTTATGAGTTTTGAAAGTTTTTTTGTCACCTATTTCAGAATCTTTTTTTCCTCCATCTTAATTTCATTGTAAGAGTCATTATTTGTAGCTTAACAAAGTTCATATATGTTAAAGATGGTAGATTGAAAATATATGAGTGTAACATAAAATGTTAAGGATATATATATGATCTAATTTTCCAATATAATTTCAGGTTTTTGTGGCCAATCCAAACAAGCCAAAGCCAATTCTGGATATCCTGCTCAGAAACAAGGAAAAATTAGTGGACTTTCTAACAAAGTTTCATACTGACCGCTCGGAAGATGAACAATTCAATGATGAAAAGGCTTATCTTATAAAACAAATCAAAGAACTCAAAGCTCCTGACGAGCACTAATATTTAGCAAGGAATAGCTGTTAAACTATGTTACTACATTTTTTATTTTAATCGTACTAATTATACAATTATCTTAGACTATTCTTATAGACATGAAACTAGTAGAACAGTCAGTAGGATGTTGATCTGTTTTTGTCAGATTTTTTTTCGACAGCTTGTGTCTAACAGAAAAGTAGGGGGGGGGGCAGCGAGTTTGCTATGCAGTACGTTTTTGTCAGTTAACTCTGCAGCTTTCATTCTCAAATGGACAAGATTATTAAAAATAAGCATTCATGAACCGTTTTGTTGTATTCGAGAGTTGCATTGCTTTTTGAACATTCATGAAGACCAGAGTTACAGCAAAGAATTTTCTAGTGAAGAAGAGGATTGAAATGGAGAAAGGAATATACTGGGTAGACTGGGCAGTTGTATGGTGGAATTTACATTAGGTCTCTACTGTTATCTGTTTGCAAAGAATTTGCTAGTTTTCTTGGAGGATATTTGGCTTTACTTATAATACGTCTACTTCTGTGAGCCTTTATCTCAAAACAGGAACACGAATCAGTTTTATAAATGGACTTGAACTGAGGATTTCTCTTAACTCTATGACTGAAAAAAGTATTTTAAATAAGATAGATGAGCTGTAGTCCACTTGGGTTTGACTTTTGGGCCTATTTTACAGAAAAAAAAGAAACAAATAATGTTTTATACTGATTATCGCTCTTCTTCAATGGACTTCTGTAAATAGAACTTGGATTGAGGGGGAGAGGCAGAACAAATGTTTTGGACTTTCACTTCAGACCAACTTGGAATTGTTCTCTTATGAAGCAGGGGTCACTGCAATGGACTTAATTGCAGGATTCTGCACAAAGGTTTCTCAGTTAACAGATCTAACAGAGAGAATAAAAATTTGACTTTGGCAAGGAGGGAAAATACTTCTGATTATTACTCTGATTAATTCAACTTAATCTGAAAAAAGTTATAATTCCTCAAACAGTGTTTCAACATCAGTATGTGAAAAAATGCTGCAGCCTAAAGAAATGATATTTTGAGTAACATATTGGTACATGTATTTCACCAGTATATTGTGAGTATTAAATGGATTACCACTGAAATAATGAAAAGATAATGATAAGAGAGGAATTTGAAATAAATGAGTAGTTACTTTATATGTATACAATGAGGGTTTATCTAAAACATATTACCAGTGGTAGGTCAGTATAAATGGTTGTAGATTTAACTATCATATATTTTTCAAGCCAAGGCCTTTTTCAGACACAGGTTCTAAACATTAGGCCCAGACCCAAATAAGCTTGTATGTAAAAAATAGTGCAGCATGTCATCAAGTCAGTGTGATGAGGCTGGCAGTGGAGTGATATTAAATTTCAGAAAAGTAGTGTAAAGTGAAGCAATTTAAAACTGCTGCCCATTACAATCGTTACCTATGACAATTGAAAAGCTTATTAAAATATCTCTTTGTCCATACAATGCTTGATTTCGTTGAAGAAGGCTTGATTCTAAACAGATAAAAATTTAATTTGCATCAGCAGAACTTCTACGCAACATTAAGAAGTCAAAGTTGTAATATGTTATCATTTTATATCCAAAATAATTTTAATTGATTTTGAGAGAATTGTAGAAAAGAATCTTCCCTGTAGTTATGTGAAGAAATCACCCATTTCTGAGTCTGGAGGAATTGCATTAGCCTTATGATAATAGAAGTCAGTTGTCGATAGATACTGAAACTGGGGGTTGAAACTTTCACAAACTGCAAACAAAACCAAAATGAAAAATAGGAATAAATGTATTGAGTAAGTTACAATGTTGTATAAAAGAAAGATTTGACCAGAAAACAATTTACTGTTAATATAATGAATTCAATTTGGTTGGACGAGGAAAAGACGCGACAAGTTCAGTAGGTGTCTGTTGAAGTTGAAGCATATACACATCATTTTGAGTGTGTTAGAGAAGCCTCAGCCTGGCACAATCAGAGATCTTCTCCAACGCAATTAGAATCTCTAATGGGGATCACAGGGGGTCAGAAGGGGCATTGGAAGGAGTATTTTACTAATTATACTCTCTGACCAGAGGGTGCACTAGAAATCTGTTGCAAATATTCAACGGCACAGTGTAATTTTATAAACCATTTTAGCCCCCCCCCCCCAATCCGTATTCAGAGAGTAGTCAAATTGCTAATTTCATGAATTTCAACGCTTTCAGTTTCAAGACAGTTAAATAAAAACTTTAGGATCTGTTTCATTTGAATCAGTTAATAGGCCTACTACTACCCTTTTTTCTGAAATTGAAAAAAGGCAGTCACGATATTATAAATAGGCCATATAACAACCAGGGAGGGCGGCCTAAATTATAGATTTTTTGTTCAAATGGAAAAATGGATTGGGCACTCGCATGGTGTGTTTTGTGGAAATTTTTACCATTGACCACGTGGAAACCCTTACTGATGTTCCTTTTATCTTTTACATCACCTGCCCTTTGGATTTGACATACCCCTATGAATAAACAGTTCTTTTTTAAATTTTGACTGAGCATAGAATTTAGTTGCTATGCTCATAAACCATAGTTGGATTTTTTGAAAAAAAAAAAAAATCTACTGATCGTGTTTATATACAGTCGCCACTCGTTAACCAACTTATCAATTTTGTTTGGCACAAGGCTACGTAGATCTAGGTGACCTGAATTTTAAAGAGGCTCAAAAATCATCTTATCTTCATTAATATAGAGACGCTCTGTTCTGCACGTAGCATATGTGATAGTAGATGTTTGTTCTAATACCGTTATCAAACACCGCCCGTATTTATTAGTCAACGATGGCTTTATAACTATATCGTTCCCTTTGACTTGTTTAAACTGGGCTGGATGTGCCACAGGTAGGCCTACCAGTACAAGAGAAAAGGTTTGTGATGTTTTTATTATTATTATTTTTTTTATCCTTATTATCTTTTATATATATAACGATCTCACCCCATGCTGGCACTATCGGATGTATTATCTGTGTCGGGATGTAGATATAGTGCTGTGCCTATCAGCCATACGAACCACAGTCTGTTTGAATTCCCAATTAATTTGTTGTATTTTATATATATATATATATATATATATATATATATATATATATATATATATATATATATATATATATATAACTTTTGCTCGGTTGAAGTATGAACTGTTTTAATTCCATTTTTGTAAAGTTTGGTTATATAATATGTTAAGTTTTGTAAGCCCATTTACTCTTTTTTTAATTTTCTGGGTCAAACACGAACGAAAATAGCAATGCAAATAATGGGGTGCGGCTGCGCAGAAAGGTTTTATCGATTTTTAAACCTAGCACTGATACCATTATATTCTTTTTTTTCAGGTCAGCGTCAGGTAATAGAGTCTGACAATAGGACTAAAACACGACCTCCATTAAGAAGGAAAAGAAACTGCCAACAGGCATCTACACGCAAACAGTCACCACATGATTCGAATAGTAAGTATTAAACAAGTTGAGCCAATGAGTTGTGTACAGAAGGTTTTTGCCGAGAATGATTTTTACGAAGTTGCTATTAAGCTGAAGTTGGTAGGCGGCTGGATCGGCACCACCTTCACAGAACTTCACCGACAAGCTTTCGATGAAAATGGCTGTAGGTCACATGGTCTGTATACTTGTGGTTGGCCGAGTGGAGAGTAAAATCCTTAAATATGCGTATCTCCAAAATTGGCAGAGTTGCACCCTTAGTTACTATCGAACTTGATTAGTAAGTCATATATTGACAATCTCTAATTACTTATACCTTGAATATGACTGTTGACATACTTTTCACCCTAAGCTGAATCATCCGAAACTTATAGGCCCTATGGACAACTCTAATAATTATAAATTTATTTGATTTGTGGTGTCGTTCGATGAACTTTGTTTGATGAGTTTTGATAAGTTAATACATGTATAGGATTATTATTTATAACATGGACCAGCATATAAAATGTAAATACATTGACCTTTTCTTAAATGATCTTTATTTGGGTCGAAGTTGTAAAAAAAAGATACTAATAACATGTCAAAGCTAAAGGTAGATATTCTTTGTGTGGAAATGTACAAAGTCTACAATGATACATGTGCTCAAATTTCTAAATGTGAACTAGCTGAATGTGGGGGAGCCCAACGTATTTGACTTATTTCCCTCTTTCCACAGGTGTTGGTTGCCTTGCATAACAGCATAAAATGCACTGTTAAGCATTTGTCGGAGATATGGCTGGACTACCAACCCCTAACATTCCCCTTGCCTTTGACTTGAAAATAATCACTTCGCCATGTACATTTCAACTTCGCATAGCAGAAAAAGAAGTGGTCTATGCAGTGCTGGGAGCAGCTGCCGTTACTGGAGTGACTGCCGCTGGACTTGCTGCATTTTTTCTTCGACATAATGAGGACGTTCGGCGCATTATCAGGAATGTAATAGTGGGCAATGATCATGATCAAGACCCAGCAGTTAATGATATTAACCCAGGATCACTGCTTGTGGATATTACATGCAAAACCGAAGGGAGTCTCCTGGCGCTTGGCCGCCGATATCTTGATGGTTCTCTGGCCACGGACATAGAAAATGGCCTTAAATCAATTGGATACGATCAACCAATCACTGTGACCGCCGAAAAAGATGGCAAACCATTTGCATTGGACAAGGTGCACCAAGCACTACAGGTAAATTTCAGTTAAAAAGTAGAAAAGTACCTTTGAATTTTGCGCATGCAAAAACTTTTCGACGTACGTCAACATATAATTCATAAGTCCCGCATACGCGGGCAATAAGTTATGCGATTGTTGACGTCCGTTCACACACGTTGGCATGTATAAGTGACTCACAAGTCGTAATACGTCAAGATAATATCAGCAAACAACATCGAACAGCAGTACAGCGCCGTTATTCAGAATTTAGCTCGATACAAGCAGGCACAATCTGCATAAGTGCCCAAAGTGTGTCAGCAACCCCCTAGTTAAAGAAATATACCGTTATGAGCAAGGCTTTACCCAGCGAACCGTCCAGCCGTCATTTGGACGGCAGCTGACATCACTGGGACGGCCTATATTTTCAAAGACGTCTAGACGGCTGACGAACTTTTTATTAATGACGTATTAGCTTGGCGGAGCGGCCGTGGACGATCATGTAAGAAATTTTCTTAAAGTAATTTGACGTTCCCAACTAAATGTGATGCGCCACAGTTGAATGGTACTACTTTGTAGTGCCCGCTGTTATTCAGTCACGACAAATCTACTTCCTAAAGATTACAAAACACAACAAAATGTTTCCACTAACTTTAAAATAAATATTCCACAGTGCAGCAGTGACCAGAGTGACCTTTATGCGGTACAAAACACATTAACCGGGTATAGGACTTTAACGAACTCTTAACAAACTAACCGCCAAATTATGAAAGGGGGCACCTTCCGGACCTTCGTGCGTACGGCACCTAACAAAGCTGATAGACAAAAAAGGCAATTTTCAAAATTGCAGCGAGAGATCGTTTGCAATCGGAGAGAGACGAGGAGGCAATTTTCGTATCTGTTAAAGAGTCTTCGTTAGCCAAAGAGCAAGACAAGTACGCAACTTTCGTATCGTCAGCTGGAGATCGTTCGCAATCCGAGCGAAAGGAGAAAGAAATTCTCATATTCGTTCAGTGTCTTTCGTTCGCGAACGTGCGTCAGCGGAAGATCGTTAATGATTGTTTTAAACCCTCCCTCCGTATTGAAATTAACTTTGTTTTGAAAATATTTTTTTTCATTTCATTCCCCCACCACCACAACTATTTTGGACAACCTGTATCCCAATCCTGGAAAAAGCTTTGGTTCTGGGTGAAATAATGTAATGGAACTTAATTAAATCANTTTACAGTCCTGATAGACTGGTGACTCGAGTTTACTTGTTTCGTGGAGATCAGGTGTTTTCTGCAAATCATTGTAACCCTAACCCTAAACCCTAAACCCTAACCCTAACCCTAACCCTAACTATGAAAGTAAAAATTCCATGTCCATTTCATGTCCTTCCGAGACGGATTTAATCGTAATTTTTTCGGAACTATAATAGTTTTAACGTAATTTTTCGCCTAAATATAACTAACATATAGGGGAATAAGCATACAAAAAGTGGGCCTTTTAACTTTTTTACTTTTTAAAATATTTCCATTTGAAGTGTCAAATGTCCTTCTGTAATGGCAAAAAAATACCACGGAATGGCCCATATCATCTTGTACCTCTGCTGTCATCTATGTAGCTGCTGCTTTGGAAGTACTACTTGCGGTTCAAGCAGCTTGGTAGGTTTCTCGTCAGATCGTGGGAATGGCCTGAAGTCATAGAACTCCTTTGAAAACTCTTCTTTCCAGTGGTCAATTTTAACTGAAGTGAAACGATACCAAAAAGACTAAAAACATTTCGATACAGGAGTTTTGATATTGCTGCACTTCTTTTGTGGTCCAATTTTATTAACATATCAAATGTGTCTTAACTCTTATCACTGTTTTGAAAAGAATTTAAATAACATTTTAATTAACTTTAATCTTTTCATATTAAATACCTTTATGTTAGTTTTTAATTTATCTTTGTGGTTTTAGTTTTTATTTGGTAGTGTAAGTAACACTGAGATGCACATGTAGCACGTTTTTAAAATGTATTATTATTATTATTATTATTATTATTTACGTAAAATGTATTCCAATATATGTCGCAATAGGAAATATTGCTGAGTAGGCATTCGTCGGGGGTATATAAACATCAAACGAATGCGAGAGACAATTACAGACAGAAAGAGCCAAACTATGAAGATGGCCGTCCACAATTAAGTCAGAGCTGCCATGGACAGGGCAGCCGATATATGAAGTTAACTTTTTTGCTATACTATCGAAGGTCTTTTTCGAAGCAAATAATATCATTAATATAGAAGAAACAAGTTTGTTTCTGCAAAGAGGACAGAGAAGTACATACACTTCCTTGATGTAAATTAGAGTAACTGAGAATGTAATATTTCAAGGTAAGCTTTCTATCGACTTCATTTTCACAATCTTTCAAGCTAAGAATACTGATGTTAAAATGAGGAATAATGACGAATTAGAGCTTTCGAACGTTTATTCACCAATTCTCTTTTCATACAATTTGACAAGTATTTAAAATCTATTTCTCCGTACTGATATTGTCTTTGCGTGATTACAAGGAATTTTCCATTCTTATGTTGACTTTACCATAGAACATTCCCTTATTAGTCAATATCTACATGTAAGAGTCTTGTTTTCAACTGAAATTATCAAAAATACTATGTGAATTACTCATACTTGAATCATATCCAAAACTCAGTTATAAGGTGATAAACCTTTGATATGAAATTAACCAATCACATAAACTGTCACTGACTTTGACATTTTCCATCTTTTTCTGACACTTAAACATGTTCTTCACTGATTGGCTCTTGATGAAACTTAACTTATACTCAATTTCACTCTAACTTTTCATCTATTTGATTTCCCTTTTATTACCAATTGTAACTAGTGTAAGCATAAGTCATTAACTTTACAACATACACCTTTTCTTCAAAAGAATTCGTCCTCGAATTCTAATTTGTTAACATACACTTCTTTCCTTTTTAGTTTCTTTAAAGCAAAACAAATACCGAATAACATAAAATTCGCAAATCATTTAATCATAAACTCGTCATATTATCTCAGCGAAGTAAAAATATACCTGACATAAATATGTGTCATTCATTAATGTTCAATGTAAGTACAAATAGGACATTGTGTCATAACATTTATTGTAAGAACACAATTACCGTCAGTTCTTATTATTTTAAAAATACGTCGTTGAAATTTATTATATGATATATCATCATCCTTACTCAGTAGTAATTCATTATAAGGGCAATATTTAGAAGTCGTCGTAATAATATGCTAACTTGGACTAAATCAGTAACATTCCATGCATAAAATAAAGTTTGCATAATACATTTACCAAAATCTAATGGTATGTGATACAACATATATCGCTTATACTCTTCAGATATCATCAAATGATGAGCACAACCAATTAACTCCATGAAGTCCAACTCCTCGTCTAAGTTTTCAAACTGTGAACAAAATATGAATAAATTGTTTCATTTAATAAATCAGATGAAAACTTAATCTGAAATTTCGGTTCTCTTTGTTGTTTGAAGTATAATTTTAATTATTATTTTATTTTAATTAAAATTCACATATACAGAATGCTTACGTAAATTTGCAAAAAGCTTAAATGACAATGTAACAGTTCTGTCGTCAATGTAAATGTGAGATTCTGCAAAATCAAACAATTTTTTAAAATAATGATAAATATATAATTACAATATCATAATTGATGAAAATAAAACTCTTAATACAAACATCATTATTCACAACATTGTAAAGTAAGTAAAATACCACTACTTATAATAATGATCATGGTTAATGCAAAATATAATGGTTATTAATAAGCAGCATGTAATTCACTGTAGACATAATAAAAATGTAAATAACTACTTTGCATAACTGCCAAAGTAGTACATAGTGATTTTAAAAAAATCATAATATTTGTCAGGACTAAAGTATCATGTTAACTCTGTGCATCTCGCACACTCTCAATAGTGATAAAGATAAATGGATCAGTTCTGATATCTTTGAAAAAGTTCGCAAGTATAAAAAATAAGTACTATGGTACTAGACAAATGCTAAAAGTCAAGTAAAATTCAAATTGGAATAAAATTAATCTGCATTGTGATCAGATGGTTCGAACTGAATATAGCAAGTGCATTAACATGTTCCATGCGCAAAAATGCATAATATTCACTCTTGACTAATTTTCTTGGTTTAAAAGCTTTGAAAATTGACAATGGGATAACTCGTTCCAAATTAATACTTTCGTTTATGATGATGTTTATAATTGTCAAGCCATGCCGATTTTTGGCGTAGTCTTCAGTTGCAAAAACTGCAGGTGTAAAGACTGAAATTGTCAATATGAGAATAGTTATCACTATGAATCAGTGAGGCGCACTGCACAATATGTGACATCTCCCCTTTTATGAAGAAACATGCACTGTACTAAGACTTTAAGCTTTAACTTTGTTAACTTTAAATAATGGTGGCTTGTGTGAACCATTCAAAACAGTACCTGACTAAAGGGCAACAGTGAAACATTAACTTCAATAAACAAACTGCATAAATCACTGTTCAAAGTTTTCAATAAATAGTCTTTTCACTAAGATAAGTCTTTCAAACACACGAAGTTTAAGGTGCTAGTCTACAAAACACAACACTTAAAAGAATCACTGATTATACACTGGTAAGTGTCAATGTTCGTTCTGTTGATAAAATGTCAACTTTCTATTTTCTAGACTAGAAGCTTTTCACAGAAACATAAACACAGTTTAGGCAGATGAAAGATGAAAGTACACATGCACTGAGATGTCAACAAAACAAAAATAAAAAAGGCAGAGGTTGCTAGCACATGCCTTAATTTATAGAATAAGCCTACCTGGGCGTTTACTAAGCTTCTCCGACCTGGTATATATCTCACATTGAACTCCAGACTTCTCAGTGCTTTTCTGGTGTTTCTTTTGATGATATTCTTTAAGTGGCGACTCAGTTTTACAGTCCTGATAGACTGGTGACTCGAGTTTACTTGTTTCGTGGAGATCAGGTATTTTCTGCAAATCATTGGAAAATCCCTAACCCTAACCCAAACTCTAACCCTAACCCTAACCCAACCCTAACCCTAAACCCTAACCCTAACCCTAACTCTAACCCTAACCCTAACCCTCTAACCCTAACCCTAACCCCAACCCTAACCCTCTAACCCTAACCCCAACCCTAACCCTAACCCTAACC